AGTAGAAGCAGAATGGTTGCCTGGGCTCCCTTCCACACTACAGTGCAGTGGGGGGAATTGTCTATTTAAGCATGTCCCATCAGTATTTGGGGGACACACAGTCAAAAAGTATTTGCTGTTTATCCAAAACTCAGTTTTAACTAGGGATTCTGTATTTTACCTGAATCACCAGATTGGGAGGGGGGATAGTCATTCCCAAAGCACTTTGTCAATTGATCCCTGTCCTGTCCACCCATCCTCAGCTGATTCCAAAGCGGGTGGGGACAACAGTACTTGGGCCAGGCAGTATCTCAGCATGGAACTGGAGGAAGAAAGCAGAAAGGGTTACTGAGGCCTGGAAACCTCCTTCCCCCAAAGCCTAAGGTCTCTCAGGCAGGCCTGGCCGTGGACTCAGGTGGTCCATCTGGGTTTCCTCAGTTTTAGTATCTTTGTTTCAGTGCTGAGGAACTGCTAAATGAGTCCCGTTAGTGGGGCCCTTCACTGCCCCCTACCATGACCTCTAACTCTACCCCACCCCTTTTTATGGGACTGGGGATCTAAACCAGGGTCTCACACTTGCCACTGAACTACATCCCCAGCCATTTTTCAAGAAAAAAATTTGAGATAAGGACTCACTGAATTGTCCAGGATGGGCTTGAACTTGCCATCCTCCTGTGTCCTCCTGAGTAGCTGGGATTTGGCATTCGAACCACACCCTGCCTTCCCTCTGCCCTCTCAGCCCTCAGGTGTGCTGGCTCTCTCCAGTGCACAAGAGAAAGAGGAACCCGCCACAGCCTTCTAAAAAAGAGGAAGGCACAGTTTGTGTGGTGGCTTGAGGAGTGGAGGGGACTCAACCAAGGAATGAAAAAGAGGAACCCAGCCAGCACGCCCCACCTGGAGAAGGTCATTGCTGCTGCCGGTGCCAGTGAAAAGAGGATCCAGAAAAGGTGAGGGAGGGGGTTTCCAAAGTGTCCTCACCCCATTTCCTGAGAAGCAGAGTGGCAGGAGCTGAGCTGCAGGCCATGAACAAACTGCCTTCTTGCTCCAGCAGCAGCCCTATTCAGACACCAGCCTTGGTGGGGAGATAGAAACCACTGGACCCCAAGGTGGGTACCCAGTGCAAGCTTGGCTCAGGCATCGGAAATCTTACTGTCTTCCTAGCCAGATCCCAGCATCTGCCAGGAAGAGCCCAAGGCTGTCCATTTCTGGCCTCTCTGGTGCCCATCTTCAGTTAAGAGGAAGGTAGGAGTGGCTCAAGGCATGGCTTGGGGAAGGTGTGGCTGGTGTGGAGGCCTAAGTCGTCTGTCCTTGGACAGGGCAAAACTTGAGGACCACCGCTCCTCGCTCCTCGGAGCTCTTTGTGCACCCATCACCCTAGTATCATCTCTTTCCGCAGCAACAGTGACTCACAAAGCTGGGCAGTGACTGGCTCTGGAAGCCAGGTCACAAAGACTATTACGGCCTACGCAGAAGAGGCACGCCCCAAGACAGCCCTGTGCAGCACTCATCCCTGCAGCCGGGCAGAGCCTGGGCCTCCAGCTGTCCCACAGCACCCTGACTGGGCCTCAGGACTAATGCAGCAAAGCACAAGGCCTCGGTGTACCCGTGTGTGTCATCTATTTTGTGAAGGCACTGGTGCACGTGTTCAAGATCTACTTGACATCCAACTACACTTACAACTTCCGCAGCTGGCCTGTGGACTTTCGCTAGGATGATGTGTGCTCCGCTGGTGGGGGCAGGAGCAGCCATCGGGCACTGATGTGGACAACAGCTGCTGTAGGTGTATGGCTGCTGCGGGACGCAGCACTGGGAGGTGATGCACCTGGGTGGCCATTGCGCAGGGCCCGCAGCCAGGCACAGTGCCTCCTGCAGCAGATCCGAGAGCTGCCTAGCCAGCTTACTAGCTATGCCCTGGCCCACTCACTAGGCCGCTGGCTCGTGTACCCTGGCTCCATGTTCCTGATGTCCTGAGCACTGCTGCTACTACTGCAGCAGGGCCAAGAGCGCCTCATGGAGCACTACCATGGCCAGCATGCCAAACTGGTGGCCTGTGATGGCAATGAGATCGACACCATGTTCATGGATCGCCGCCAGAACCCTGGCAGCCACGGCTGGGGCCTGCGCCTGGTCATCTGCTGTGAAGGCAGTGCTGGCTTCTATGAGATGGGCTGCCTGTCTTCGCCACTCGAAGATGGCTACTCAGTGCTGGGCTGGAACCACTCGGGTTTCGGGGGCAGCACAGGCACTCCATTCCCACAGCATGATGCCAATGCCATGGACATAGTGATCAAGTATGCCCTGCACCACCTGCAATTTCCGCCTGCACACGTGGTAGTCTATGGCTGGTCTATTGGAGGCTTCACTGCGATCTGGGCTGCGATGACTTACCCAGAGCTGGGTGCACTGGTGCTGGATGACACCTTTGATGACCTTGTGGCACTAGCACTGAAGGTCATGCCCCACAGTTGGAAGGGATTGGTGGTGCGCACTGTGCGGCAGCATTTCAACCTCAATGTCGCTGAGCAGCTGTGCTGCTATCCCGGGCCAGTGCTACTGCTCCGGCGCACCCAGGATGATGTGGTCAGCACCTCAAACCACCTGCCTACTCTGCCACCTGGAGACATGGAGGGTAACCATGGCAATGAACTGCTGCTGCGCCTGCTGCAGCACCGCTACCCGGCCTTGATGGCAGGAGAGGGGTGTGTTGTCATGTCCCGCTGGCTGCGCTCCAGCAGCCTGGCACAGGAGGCTGCCTTCTACACACGCTACTGTGTGGATGATGAGTGGTGCCTTGTGATGCTGCACTCTCACTGTGAGCACTGCCAGGAGGAGCGGGCCTGGGGTCCACATGGGCCTGCCTTCTCCTGGCTTGTGGGCCAGGGCCTGAGCCCATGGCGGCAACGTCAGCTTGCACTATTCCTGGCACTAAAGCACCTCAAAAATGTGGCAGCAACTCACTGGGGCCCACTGGAGCCTGAGGACTTCCAGCTGCCCTGGAGGCTGCAGCCTGGGCTGGTGGGGCTCCTGCTGTGGGCACTCCACACCTTCCCAGCCTAGGGTGTATTCCCTTCACCACAACGACAACCAGAAAAGCTAGTCCTAGGGGGCCAGGGATTTAGCTCAGCGGTTTCACCACCTTCTGGGCAAGTGCAAGGACCTGAGTTCGATCCCCGGTACCAAAAAAACAAAACAAAACAAAACAAAATAAAACCTAGTTCTGCCCGGTATCCTGACCTGGTGTCTGTGGAGGTAGGCAGTATGTCTGGACCATAACCATCCTTCACAAGGGCATTCAGATCTTCCTCTTGTCTTCCCTGCTCCTACCTTCCTTTCTTTTCCTCCTTCGAATACTTTTGGACACCTGTGCGCAGCTGGGCACAGCATTCCCCAATTGGAATGCAGAGATGAACTTGGCCCAGTTTATGGTAATATTGTGACAGGTGATTGATCACTGCAAAAGGGTGCTGGGAATGGGCTGTGGGGCCACAGGGAGGCGCCCTTCAGCCAGCCTGGTTTCTAGGGAAAGAAGGAAGAGGTTGCCAGCCGGGTTCAAGTGTACAAGTTGTTCCTAGCTGTGAAAGGACACTAGAGCCCTAGGATCTAGGCAGCTGGACATTCCCAGCTGCTCTCCATGGTCCCCTTTGCACATCCACATTCAATAAGAGGGGCAGTTTACAGACTGCAGACTTGGAGTAACAGTGTACAGGGTAACTCAAGGCTTAGAGACATCTACATTGACCACTCATTACTGGGCACCCTCTTGGGCCAGGCCTGGGCTTGTTCATGGCTCAGGTATACAACACAGAATGAGGCCATGCTCCTGCTCACCATCTGTAACGCAGTCACTTCATGAAGCAGGAATCATTGTCTGTCCCTGTCATCTACAACTCCTTTGGACAGGGGCTAGGCAGGTTGGGGTGAGCAAGGTGGCAAGTGGGGAAGAAATATTGGGCACCCAGAGCAGGAGACAGATATGGATGGTGGTAAGACATTCAGGCCTGTGCAAGAGTACCTGGAAGACACTTGGGGAAGAGAGGAGCCAGGGGGAGGGGCATGTGAGCAGCCTCCCTGTCTTGGAACTAGCAGCTGCAGTGGACTGGCTGAGAGAGTGGAGTGCAATACAGGGAGATCAGATCTGAATGGATATGAATACCACTCAAGGGTCTTCTTCCAGGAGCAAGTAGGGGCCAAAGAATGGAAGCTGTGGGACTTTTTAGAGGTAGGATGCCTAGTGGTCTTCTAGTTCCAGGTCTTCTAGATTCCTGGTAGAAGAGTGACCTTGGGGAAGTTACTTTAGCTTCAGTTTTCCCATCTGTAAAATGGGAAAGGCGACAGTGCTGGGGCTTACTGGTTGCTGTGAAAAGAAAACGAGAAAACACCGAGGTGCACGCACAAAGCGGGGGCGAGAGCACACGATAGGGCTCACTGCTGTGTACACCCCCAAGCAAACTCCGAGGGCTAAGCTTAGGGCAGCCCAGGGCTGACACACGCTGGATTAGGGGTTCAGGGACCAGCCGGAGGGCAGCGGCGCCTGCAGGGCAAGAGGACGAATCGCGATCTCATCTTTTTCTATGTAACTCCATACAATAAAAAAAAATTACCATAAAAAGATAAAAAATAAGAACAAAAAAACCTATAGGGGTTTGCATGGGGAGAGGGTGACCACCAAAGTCAGAGGTCGGGCCTTGGAGGTGTCTTCAGGGTTCTGAGTCCGGCCGCAGAGCCCAAAGCGCTAGTGGGAGGCGGTACACACCTCCAAAGAGCTCGCGGCACCCGGCCCCGACTTCCGTATCTAGTCGGACGTTCCTCCCATTTCCCACTTCCCCGGGGTTCCGACTAGTCCGGCCTTTCTACCTGAGCGTCTTGCTGGTAGAGCCAGCCTGGGAGGCGGACCCCAGGGCCCGCTTCCGGTTTCGCCCGCACTTCGGCCTATCAGGTTGGAAGATAAGGCGAGCCACGGTCAAAGAACGCTCTCATTGGACACCACTCGTGGAGGCGGGACGGGGGCAGAACGGAGGCGGAGCACGAGCTCAAGCGGAAGTGGGCTGGCGCGCCGCTGTTACGTAATGCTGCGGCGGCCAGGCAGTTCCGCTGGCTCCTGTGTACTCTACGGGCTGCTCCAGGTGCCCCTTGGTTGGTTCGTGTAGCTCACTCAAGCCCAGCCCCGACGTCGGCTGCGGCCGGGCCGCCAACTGGACATGGACACCGCCGGCCAAGGTACCCGTCGAGCCTGGCCCCTCTGCCGCAGAGGGGCTGGGCCGTCCCGCGCTGTGCCCCTCCCGGGAGTAGCGTCCCAACTCCTCAGTCTCTGCCCTCCCGCTCCGGGGCCCCTGTTTGGCTCGTAAACCCCGAACCTCGAAGTTCATGAGGGCCGGCCCTATCGTGCATCTTCATCCTCTCTCTAGAGGACCTTCCGGCCTCCCCTGGGGCCATTCCGAGGTCGCGTTTCCCCAGTGTTCTTTTGTGCCTAGAGTTGGGCGTTTTCTCAGTTTGGGCAGCTCTCGTTATGTCACTATTCTATGTCTGGCCTTTGATGGCCTTCCGGTCCATCCTTATTCCAGACCTTTCGAGGGCCGTTTAGGACACCTATCTGGCTGTGGATCCGGGCCGAGGCGTTTGGGGGCCTCAGGAAAAGGAGGTGAAACCGTCTACGCGTTCTGCGCGGTGTCCCTTGAGTGGCAACGCTGCTTGTAGACTAGTCTATTAGGGGTTGCATCATAGGGAGATGGGTGGAGTGAGTCAAAAGCACACCCAGCATACCAGAAACAGGCGCCCCGGTAGGAGGTGGCCAGTGAGGGTTGTGGTGCAGGCCCAGATTAAAGTCTTGAGGAGATCAAAGTCTTGCCTTCCATTTTGGAACTTCAGAGGAGATACTGAAGTCCTGCATTGACATAATTGCACTGGTAAGTTCTGGAAGCTTTCCTACTGTTTGGCTAGCATCAACGTAGTAATTAAGCATTAGAGTTCCTGGGTTCTCATACATTCTGGAATGTTTGTTTATTTACTTTTGGTACTAGATATTGAACCTAGGGCCTCACACTTGCCACTGAGCTACATTTCTGTTTCTTTTTTATTTTGAGACAGAGACTTTGAGTTGCCTAAGGCAGGCCTAGGACTTGCAAACCACCTGCCTCAGCCTGCAGGGTACTTGGGATTTCTGGGATGCACCACCACATTTGGCAGTTTTTCTATTTTTTTTCTTTTTTTGGTACTGGGGCTCGAACTCAGGTCCTTGAGCTTGCGCAGCAGGCAGCAAAAGCCCTGAGCTAAATCCCTGGCCCAGTTTTTCTGCTTTTGATGGCTGTTGAGCTGGACACCATGGGACCTGCATGTAATCCCATTTGCTCAGGAGTCAGAGGCAGGAGAATTTTAGGTTCAAGGCCAGCCTGGGCAGCTTAGTGAGATCTTAGCTCAAAATCAGGTAAAAATGGCCTGGGAGTGTAGGTCAGTGGAAGAGCGACCATGGGTTCAATCCCTAGTACCAAGGGAAAATAAAGAAAAAAAGTTGCATCAAAAGTCTCCAGTTCTTAAAAAAAAAAAAGTCTCCAGTGCTGATAAATTAAGGGGACTCATTTTGTTTTACTTGCATCTTCATTTCAAATAAGTACCGAAAGCACTATATTCTGATGATAAGAATGGTGAAAAACACCGAGCACTTGGTGTGTGCCATACACTAACTTAAGCTTGTTTCTCAAATGTTTTTTTTTTTTTTTTTACAATTTCAGAACAACACCTTCAGATTGGTCCTTATTGTCCCCTTTTACAGATGAGTGTAGTCTTCAAGAGTTGAGGCTCACCCAGGGGTGAAGGCTGTAGCTCATTCATTAGTTTTGGCAATAGTGTCATCCCCACATTCAATCTCTGTAATGCTCCCCCCCAACCCCCATTTTTTTCCGACAGGGTTTTGCTATGTTCTATAGTCAGGCTGGCTTTGAACTCGCTGTGTGGCCCAGGTTGGCCTCGGACTCATGGTGACCCTCCTGCCTCAGCCTCCTGAGTGCTGGGATTACAGGCATCCACCACCACATCTGGCTCTCTGTAGTGCTTTTTTTGGTACTGGGGATCGAACTCAGGACCTTGTGCTCAAGAGGCGGGCACTGGAACCACTGAGCTAAATCCCCAGCCCTCTGTAGTGCTTTTGATGAGACTTTCCTGTCCTTGGTCACTTCTGTAAATAAAGATCTGAATGGCTTTTATCTGCAAGAGTGTGTTGAGGTTGATACCTTGCAGAGGGAGTATAAATTGCTTGATATTTGTTTGTTAAGTGCCCACTCTCCATCTGAGGATGATTTCCATTGGATTCAATTTTAGCTTTATAGGCAGAGATTGTCTGAGATCCTTTTTTTTTTTTAATATAGGAGAAAATTTGTAGAGATTTGATCAAGACACTGAAACTTGAGTAGTTTCAACACAGTGGATCAAAATGATAAAGTATGATCATGTAGATTGGTCTTAGTTAAAAATTAGAATTAGTAGTTTTAAAAATAGATATGCTTTGTTTGGTAAACATCTTTTTATTGATATATGTTTGCAGTACCTAATGATTACCTTTATCATGGAGAAGTGGTACATGTACATAACACATTTTAATTTTTTTACTTTCCTTCCTCCCTTAAATATCTGTTGAGTGCTAAAAAAGCACGTAAGTCCCGCGGTTTAGGACATACAAAGGGTATAAAATGCTGCCGGCTACTTTTAAGTAGAGCATCTTTGGTTTTCAGTGTAACCTGTATTTAGTAGACTCTTCAGAATTAGTATGGTTGATAAACTTAGCTGCAATGAAACACACTTTTTTTCTTTCCAGTCTTTATGCTTTTTATTTTAATTTACTCTGAAACATACAGACATCGTTGTAAGCCTCTATTCACAGAAAGAACTAGTGAAGAGGAAAAATATTTGTTGTTGTTTTTGAGACAGGATCTCACCATCTCTTTGAGCCTTGAACCCTGTGTAGTCCAGGCTGGCCTTGAGTTCACAGTGATCCTCCTTCCTCAGACTTCCAAGTATTGCTATGGTAGGCATGCACCACTGTGCCCAACAGGGAATATAATTTCAATGCTGAGTATGTAGAAGTACTGTACTAAACAGTAGTCATGTGTTTGGTGTTGGAGAGAATTGAGATGAAATGTTTTTCTTTATGTGGTATCTTCTAGGCTTTTAGTGGAGACAGGAAGGTGGACTTAATGTGAAGAAAAAATAATGCCTGTGGGAATTTGAAACCGATGTGGTGTGCAGCGGTGTGTGGGGGCAGTTTCCCTCTCCACTTCTGCACACGCTGCCAGTCTCCTGGCTTTGGAATAAGGATCAGGGCTCAGATTAAAGGGGGATTTTGTTTTGCTGACTTCTTGCAGGGGCTGGATGACTGGCGTATGTTACTTGCATTTTATTTTAGCATGTCTCAGGCAGAGGAGTTGAATGGAAAGTGATGCTTGTGCTGTTGATTGCCGCATTCAGTTCCCTTGCTCTAAAAAAATGAAGATCTGTTGGATTGGGCTGTTCTCTTTGTAGCAAGACTTTTCTGCCTTAGATAGTATTCTGACAGGAGAAACCAGAGTTAGGGTTTAACTACCTTGGTTAGCATTTCTAGTGCTCCAGTAGTACAAGTAGTATTGGGTTTGCTTCTCAGGTGGCCTCAGAGATAGCTGCCAAAACCATCTTCGCAAGTCTGGGAGGTGTTGTTGGTCTCCATGGCCTCCCTTCCACCCGGCTTTCCTTCCTTCCTGGGTGATCCCTACCCTATTCGCTTCCTGATAACTTAATGGACACTTTCTGACCTCATTTTGTCTCTGGCAGATATCAACCTGAATTCTCCTAACAAAGGTCAGCTACCTGACTTCATGATTGATGTCCCTGTTGACCCAGGTGTAGCTGCCCAGTCTCCTGCTGTTGAGGGTCTGACGGAGACAGAAGAGGAGGAGCTCAGGGCCGAGCTTGCCAAGGTGCTGTGGTCTGTCCTGGGGTGACCAGGTCTTAAGGCTGTCTTGGGTTAATGAGGGACCAGACCACTGCCTGAGCTCTGGAGGAATTGCCTTGGTGGGCCACCCACCTGCTGCTCTGTGTTTGCACCCCTTATGGGGCCATCACTGTGTGCCTACCTGCATGGAGTGGGCTCAGCCACCTGGGATGGAGGCAGCCATGAGAAGAAAACAGTGGACCCTTGAGTTACTACCAACCTGACCTTCGAACAGCATGGGTTACGACTGGAATTTTAGTTTTAATACGACCAAAGTCTTGAGTTATGACCCAGTGCTGGCCACTTGTGCTTCCAGATGGTCTCAAATACAGATTTAACCCTTAAAGAGTTCTGGAAGGAACATTGTAACATCTTTTCCTGTGTGGGGTTGAGAAATTCTGGGGCAATGTCTCTCTAAGAACTCTGAGATCTGCCTGTTTACAGGAGAGACTTTGAAGGCTGTGTAGAGGAGCCTGAGCCTTCAGTTGACCAACCTGAGTTGCAACCAGCCCTTGGGAGTGAATAGAGTTCGTAAGTCAAGGGTCCACTGTATCCATACAGGGATAGCCTCTCTGATAATGCTATCAGCTGGGCTTTTTAAAAAAAAAATTTTTTTTTTGGTATCAGGAATTGAACTCAGGACCTTGTGCTTGCCAGCCAGGCTCAGTGCCACTGAGCTAAATTGTTGGCCCAGCTGGCATTTTTTAAATGGGTATTAACAATTAACAGTTGTTTTTGAGACCTTATGAATTTGCTTTCCCTAGATCTTAATTTTTCTTTTGAAAATAGTGGTTATACACACACACACACACACACACACACGTGTGCGTGTGTGTGTGTATATATATATGCGTGTGTATATACATATATATATACTTTTTTTTTTTTTTTTCTTTTTTGGGTACTGGGGATCGAACTCGGGTCCTTGTGCTTGCACAGCAGATGGAGAAACCACTGAGCTAAATCCCCGGCCCTTCCCTCTGTTTTTTTGGAGGCAGGGTCTCTATGTAGTTTGGGCTGGGCTGGAACTCACTATGTGGCCCAGGCTGGCACCGAATTCATGATGATCTTCCTGCCTCAGCCTCCTCAGTGCTGTGATTACAGGCATGCAACACAACACTGGCTATAGCTGGTTTTTGCCAAGTCCTGGAGCTGAACTCACAAACATAGACATCAAAAGGGCTGTTTCTGTCACTTGGGCTCTGTCTGTTCTGTCAGCTCTGCATAGGGAATTCCCCCATGGCTCCAGCCAGGGCTCGGCTGTAGCAGTTCCAACTCCAGTCCACTCAGACCCAGAGTCCAGAGGGAAAAGGTGCTTCTTTCCTGATGTTGAGGCCCAGGGAAGGGCTCTGCAGGCCTTACCTGATAATCCTGAGACTGTTTGTAGATGGGGGTCAGGCACACAGTGATTGGCAGCCTCACCAAAACCCCTGGGGTGGGGGAGTACACAGTTCTCCAGGAGTTAGGTTGCTGGTGCCAGATAAAAACAGCAGCTGTTGCCAGATGCAGTGGTGCACGCCTGTGATCCCATCACTCAGGAAGCTGAGGCAGGAGGATGGATCGCTGTGAGTTCAAGGCCAGCCTGGGCTACGTGGTGAGTTCAAGCCCAGTCTGAACTGCATAGTGAGACACTGTCTCAAAAACAAAAAAACAAAACCCAGCAGCTATTGCTGTAGGTTCAGTTCCTAAGATGAATTGTATTTTGTGTTTTTGTAAGCCAGGCGTTCTTAGTAATTCTGAGAAACTTGATTGCGGTATGTGTAAGAATGTTGGTCACTTCCTACAATAGTGATGGCTCATTGTGTCAACTGCATGCTTTGCAGGTAGAAGAAGAAATCATCACCCTGCGCCAGGTCCTGGCAGCCAAGGAGAGGCACTGTGGAGAGCTGAAAAGGAGGCTGGGCCTGTCTGCCTTGGGGGAGCTGAAACAGAACCTGTCTAAGAGCTGGCATGATGTGCAGGTCTCTAATGCGTAGGTACCAGCCCCACCCTGGCCACACCCCTGTTGACTGGAGAAAGCCCGCCCGGGGCTGAGCCTCTGTCTTGCAAATGGAGAGTGTGAGTGGTTTGGATGAGATGCCTTACAGCATTGGCAGTGGAGTGGGCCTGCTTGGGAGCAGGAGGCCCAGGCCTGGAGGCCTTGTGTAGGGACTGTACCTGAGTTTACTCAGAGTATAGAATCTACAGTGTTTTTATCTGGCACCAGCACCCTGACTCCTGGAGAACAAGCTGGTGCCTCAGCTGGCCCCTGGTGTTTGTGCCAGGCGGTCCTCCTTTGTGTCTTCTGGAATCTCACCTACAGTTTGAAGCCTAAGTTGAAATCTAAATATTCACCACAAACTTTCTGTTTTTAGCTATGTGAAAACTTCTGAGAAACTTGGAGAGTGGAATGAGAAAGTGACCCAGTCCGACCTGTGAGTGCCTGTGCCATCAGCGCCTCCTTCCCCTGGTTCTCCTCCTCCCAACTCTCCCTGGGAACAGAGAGGCTATGCACACTTGGCACCAACTGCATTTCGGTGTTTGCTAGCAATTTTTTCCTCCCAAGTACAAATAAAACTACTGTTTAAACTCCTGTGGGATGGGGGATGTAGCTGAAGGACATTTGCTCAACCATTGGACGGACCCTGCTTAAAGCTCTTCTCTGCCTGACCCAGGTGCCTTCGACGAGGGGCCTAAGCTGGGCTTGGGGATTGTCTGACTGGAAGACACTCTTGGCTTTCAGGAGTGGGGAAAGTGGGTGGCACCACCTGGTCTGGTTTTGGTGGTGACCGATGTTTGTTTATTTGTTGTCCTCCTCCCTTCAGACTCATTTCCAGTTGTTGGGGCCTTAGAGCTTCACTTGTGCTAGGGTTTCTGGGGGAGGAGTGATGCTTGTGGGGTCGAAGGTATCCTGTGGTCTAGAAGGCACTAGATGGCCGCCAGGCGGGATGTCAGATGTCAGCAGAGCGTGGTCGATGTGTGACAACTTTGAGTGTCTGTCAGAGCTGTAATTCACAGCAACTTCTGGAGATCCTTAACCTAGATGATGGCATGTTGTTTATCTGTACTCCTATTTCATTGTAATGTCTGAACTGGGTAGAAGAGTATTTAGATATAATCTCTTTGTGGAACCTTTTTATGTCTTGTTTGGAAGGAAATGTGTTGCTGTAAAGCACAGAGTGAAGTTCCTTCCGTGCTTGGGTTAGAAGGGGATGCTGCCGCTGAGTTTGTCTTGAAGGTACTTGGGGACCAGCCCGGCTCACTGTGCCCATGGGACATTGTGGTCTGATATCACGTGAGAGGCTGGTGCAGGGTAACTCTGGCAGTTCCTGTTGCCCTAGGTATTTCAGGAGCACTGGTGGGGTATCTTTAGTGATGCACTAGACAGTGATTTTGGTGGGAGCAGATGTTCCTTAGGTGGAGACAGTGTGTCAGTGCAGTTACAGTGTTGGGCAGGCTCACAGTGCAGACTTGGTCTAGAGATAGTCTCAGGAATCTGGGCATGGTAGCATATGCTTGTAATCCCAGCACTCGGAGGCTGAGTCAGGAGATTGCAAATTTGGCTCAGTCTAGGCAATTTAATGATTTAGCAACTCTATCTCGAAATGAAAAATACAGGGATTTAGCTCAGTGGTTCTACCACCTGCCTCAAAAGCTCAAGGTCCCAAGTTAGATCCTTGGTTAAAAAAAAGAAGAATACAAGAGGCAGGGTGCTGCTAATATACCCTAGGTTCAACCTCCAGTACCCCCTCCCCAGATATGTGTATATGTCTCGGGAGACTTCAGTCCTGTCATGTGTTTGGAGCCATCTGACAAAGGGCTACTGGGATACCATCTCAGTCTCTCAAAGAGCTGAGGACACGTAGAATTCTGGTCCCTCTGAGAGAAACCTGTAGCTTAGTGTGGAAGCATAGCTGGTGGATTGCCCCTTTCCAAGTACCTCCCTGCAGAGGCTTGTTCCCCTGCCTCTCACCCCAACTCTTGGTGTACGAGCTGTCACAGTGAGGCTTGCAGAGCCAGAGACCTTTCTGGACTGACAGCCCGGGAGACAGTGTGACTTGGGGGCGGTGCTGAGGATGTTGGCTGCTTGGTGTCCTCTGCCTGGTTGCTGATGGGGTCCTGGACAGCTTCAGGAGATGGGCTGCTGCAGGATTTGACTGCCTGGAGCTTTTGCAGGGGAAGGTGATGGCCGCGAGCTTGCTGACTTCTCTGATGCGAGTGTTTGTAGATTCCTTTTAACCAGCAGCACCCTGAGGTCTGGCATGGGAGCAAGGCTCAGGATGCTGTGTGGATGTCTGCACCTGTGGGCTTAGCTGTCTGGAAGCTGTGCTTGCACAGCTTAGATGCTGCTGGTGCCCTGATCTCTCAGCTTTCACTGCTTTGTGTGGGAGCAGCTGTGTTCTGTGGGTTGTGAAACCATCACCTTATATTTTTCTTACAGGTAGAACTAGCTGAAAACCCGTTGCTAAGAGTGGACCAAACTCTGTATTTATTATTTTTTCCCCTTTGAGTTCTTTCGGTCACGGGTGACACAGCTAAAGAGAATGTCAGCCAGAGAGGGGAGCGGGAGGACTCATGGAACAGAAAAGTCCCTGCTCACAGCTTTGCAGCTAAAGAACAGAGTGGCCCAGGCGTGGATCTCACTAGACTAGTTTTTGCAGCCAGGGAGCTGATATCCTCTTCTACGCCTGTGTGAGCATGAGGAAGAGTCCAGAGAAGGGGAGGGAAAAGAGCACCTGCTAGATCCGAACTGGCTGATGGACATGCTTGCTGAGGGTGGGAGGAAACTGCTGGCTGTCCTGGGTTCTTGTCCTAAAAGGTCTAAATAAACTGCATAAGAGGAGCTGGCTAGGATGGCGTAGCCTGGTGCTTCTGTGCTCCCCACCCTTCACTTCTTGAGCTCCCTGTCCTGAGATGATGATAGCCCTGTGCCCTAGGTTACCAGGGAGTGGGTGTGGGGCTGCAGCATGAGCCCGGGTGAGTCTCAGGTGGAGAAAGCAGAGGTCAGCACTACAGAACAGTTGGGTTCTGCTGCTAGCCCCAGCCTGTGTGGGAGATGCCAGCTGCTTTGGGCATCCGGCTCCAAGTTTTCTGCTCCCTTTTTTTTTTTTTTTCTCTTTTGGTACTGGGGATCAAACTCAAGACCTTGTGCTTGCGAGGCAGGCAGCGGCACCACTGAGCTAAATCCCCGACCCTAAGTTTTCGGCTTCTGAAGGTGACTCCTTTTGCACTTTTTCGAGTGCCCAGAAACGCTGTGGGCTAGGGACCCTGCTGGCTGTGTACTGTAGCTTGCAGTGCTGGGGACCAGCTGCTCATGTGGGAGGCGCTTGCCTGGAGGCAGTTACTTGCTTTCTGCCAGGCTGTTTCCACAGCCTCACCCTTTGGGCACAAATAGAGATTTTGTGAGGATTTTTCCTTTCGTTTCCTCTTTTGTTTTCTTTCTTCCTTTTTTGTAGTACTTGGATTTGTTGAACCCAGGACTTCAAACTTCAAACCACAGAACGTTATTGTCATCTTGTATATTAGTTTTTTTCAGGGAAAATTGAGATTAAAGATGTGTTCTGAATTTGTATTTCTGCAACTAAATGTTGTTGGTCCTTAGTTATCCCTACATGGTGTCATCTGTGGCTTGCAGTTAACCTTGGTTCCCTTGCTTTGGCAGGAAAGTGTGCCAGGTAGCTAGGCCTTGGGTTGGGCTCTGGCAGGTTCTGCCAGCCAGGGCCAGGAGGAGGATCTGAGCCTTCCTTATGCGCTGTATGTGGGGTGCTACCAGACCTGCCTCTGCCATTGGTCACAATCTCCTCGGCTAGATGATGGTCATTAGGGTTAGGAGGGTGCTGGAGGCCGGCAGGTGTGCCCTCATGGGGCCTCTGTCAGGAGAAACCGCTCAGAAAAACTGTTGCTGTTCTGCAGCCTGGTGACACTAATGGGGCATCTCCCTGGGAGGCCAGCCTCATGCATAGCTGGGTTTTTGGGAAAGATGCATTTCAGCTCACCCCTGATGATGTCACATGGTGTTGTGAGTCCCATCCACCCTTGACTTGACCTCATCTTCCTTGGCTTTGCTCAGTAAGGAGCTTCGGCCAGGAGGGTTTGAATGAGGGTTTTAGTGATAGACTTTTGTCATGCTGGACATTGCCATGTCTTCCATTTGTGGTGACAGCTGGACAAGAACTGGCAATCTCAGGTGCTGGTTCTCATGTCATGCCCGAGTGTCTCTTTGGCCACCATGTCCACTTGTACTCCTCCTGCTGGTGTTGAGGTTATACAGTTGTGTCTCAGTAGAATGTGCCCACAAATGGGTGGGCACCAAAGAGGTAGACGGGGATAACAGAGTGGCAGTCTGCTGTGGGTCAAGACCATATTCTCGCACTTTGTAGCAGGGGCATAAGAACAAGACAGTCCTGTGTTCTGGAAAGACATCGTGCAGACAGTGCTGGAGGGTGAGGGCACCTGTCTGGAAAAGGCACCCACAGGTGACACACTCCCAAGACTGTGATTGAGCTTCCATTTCCTCTCCTCAGAAGACTGTTACATGAGAAGAGGAAAGGGAAACTTTGAGTCTGCATTGGCTTGTTGAGTAAGGGAGATGAGGACTGACTTTTCTGGCTTCTGCTGTTCTAGCACTGTCTGACCAGGTGTGAAACCAGACCCTGGGCCTCTGTGGGCTGTTTTCTCTGTATTCCGTAGGCGTTGCTTTTCCTGGGGGAAGATAGGAGAGTCTGGTCAGCTTCCAGTGAGGTAGAGATGCAGTATCTGAATTGTAGGATGAGGAAATTGATTCAGGATTGGGGGAGTGTAACTCTGCTGGGAGCATGTTGATTCTGCACTGCAGGGTCCCCTGCACTGCTCTTCCATAGCAATCCAGTCAGTGCCTACTGCCCACCAGACTCCTCCCCACCTCTCTCTTGGGTGCTTTCCTGGCACTTTGTTTCCTTGGCAGTGATTTGTGCCTGCCTGTGCTGCTTGGTTAGTCTTAACTGGTGTGTCTTCTTCCCAGCTACAAGAAGACCCAGGAAACTCTCTCTCAAGCAGGCCAGAAGACATCTGCGGCCTTGTCTACCATGGGCTCTGCCATCAGCAGGAAGCTTGGAGACATGAGGTGAGACCCTCGCCTGGTCAGGGTGGCATGCTGAGGAGCTGGAGGTCCTGGGAAGGAAGCGTGCCTTAAGCCAGGCTCTGGTGCACAGCCTGGGAGTGGCCATGCCAGCCACTGGAGCAGTCTGCATGTGACCTTTGCGGGGGCGGGGAGCTCCTTCTGCTTCCTGCTGTCTGCCTTTTGACTGCTGAGCCAGAGGTGAGGACATGGGAATCTACCCTTAAGGACCCACGGAGCCAAGCAGAAGGGATGGCTTTTGCCCAGGAACTCTTTTATCTCTCTTTTGTTTGAAGCCATCTACCCCTTCCATCCAGCTCTCTTGTTTTGAACAGTTTCTGACGCTGGGAAAAGCTCCATGACCACTGCTCAGCTGTGTCTCCTACATGTGCCTCTGCCTGGGCTTTGGCCATGCTCCCAAGCAACTGTGGCTGGGGGTCCCTGTGTGTGGCCCTGCCCTCCATGGCTGAGCTGGGCCAGGGGACCCCTGAGTTGGCAGCAAGGAAGGTCTACGGGATTTCCCCACTAGGTTGGCAAGCACTCACCATTCCTCCCTCCTTAGGGGCAACTTAGCCCAGGGACAGCACATCTGGCTGCCTGAGCTGTGTGTAGTAAGCTTGATGATGGCTGCTGGTCACATAGCACTGACCCTGCTCCCAGGGACAGCTGTGGAGATAGGCAGGACCAGCCTAGCGCCACGGTGGAGAGCTGCTGCCTGTTTCTTCCTATAGATGCTCATTTTACCACAGAACGTTGTGAGGAGCTCTCGTGTCTGCTGTGCCTGGGCTGTCCCTGTGAGGAGCATTCTTTCACATCTGGATGGTGTGCTCATCTTAAGAATGCTCACTTTCTGTGGAGTTTATTCGGAGCGTCCTGGGTGGAAGTCTGTTAGAGAGTGTGGCCCTTGGTGCAGTGGCAGTAGCTGTGAGCCAGCCGGTCGTGGCTGCTTGGATGGGGCAGGGTTTTATAGGCCTGCCGTTCTGTGGAAGCATATTGGAAGGGCATTGATCCTGTTTCTTTGCTGCTGCTTCTGTGACAAGGAGTCACTTGTGTTGTCTCCTCAGAGAACTGGGGTTTGCTGCAGACCCTGGGCTGTGTGGCCCGAGGCTGTGGTGGGCAGTGAGCAGGGTCCCTGGCACATGCTGGTGTGTCGCTGGCCACATGTATGGTCTCACTGCCCTGGTGTGCTTGGGCTGCCAGAGCAAGGAGGGGCCTCAGGACAGTCAGAGGAACCAGCTCTCTGCATTTGGCTGTCTGTGTTCAAGATGCCCCAAATGTGTCCTGTTTGCTAGTGTGTCCTCCTCAGGGTGCTTCTGTTGGTAACGGTGTTATCAGTGAACTCTCAAGGCCATGACAGATCTTTGTCATTTCTTTTTCTTGTTTTTTTGAGACAGGGTCTTGCTATGTAGTTCAGGCTGGCCTTCAATTCACTGTGTAGTCCATGGTAGCCTCAAACTCATGGTGATCCTCCTGCCTCAGCCTCCTGAGTGCTGGGATTATAGGTGTGTGCCACTGGACCTGGCCAGATCTCTGTCATTTCACTGGGTGATCACAGGTGGTTTCTGAGGCTAAGGCCGGTTGGCTTCCTGGGTTACAAACTGAGGCTGAGAACTCAGGTCTTCTTGGAATAAGAGGCAGGCTCAGGAAGCTGACAACATGAGTTTAGGAGTAGACCCTTGTGAGCTCTTCCTGACCCCTGAATCCAAAACGTGTGCATAATACCTGTGTCCATGATGGACCTAGAGGCCTCTGGTATGCCTTAGGACCTGAGGAGATGGAAACAGGGAAGGATGAACTGGATGCAGGTCAGAGAATGGTCTCTGTCAGTGTCATCATCAGCTTGGTGACCTTGGACAAGAGGGCAAGTCCTGCTTTGAGTATATTCTTCAGTGGTTCTTTCCATGTTGGGAATGTCCTCCTGTTTTGGCTTCTAGTATGTTAGAGGTGGAGGGCCAGCTGCATCACAGAGGAGTGGCCAGCTCCCTTTTCTCCAGTCCAGCAGCTCCCCTTGGACTGCACATCTCCTGGGCACCCTCTGTTTGGGACTTAGAACTCAAAGCAGAAGTGGTTTGGCCTGAGGTCGTCCCCATCTCTTATGGTGCTTGTGTTCCAATTCAGCTTGGAGAGCAAGGCCACTCTGTGAATGTGGAGTGTTGGCCCACCCTGGCTGGCTCATCTCATGCCTTTGTGCTGTTCACAGGACCCCTTTTCCTTCTAGACATCGTTTTTGGTCCTCTTTTTGGAATCACCCCTTTAAGCTCCGCACAGGATGTGGCCACAGGAGCCTCTTGTACATATGACCATCCCCAGGAGGTAGGACCAGGGGGCACAGGTTGCTGGTTGTAGTCTCAGGAGCCTCTTGTAGAGTCAGGACGGGCCATGTGTCCTGCTATTCCTGCTCGTATGAGTGCTGGAGGAGCAGCCATGGAGTGCCTTTCCATACCAGTCCCTGCTCGGCCTTCTAGAACTTGAGCAGAAGGGCCTGGGAGTGCTGTGGGGGTCTTGGTTGGCACTAGCCTCCTTTACTTAACACTGCTTTTCTTCTTTTTCCTGCTGCCACTTTCAGGGCTCATCCATTCTCACACTCCTTTAGGTAAGACTGACCCTGGACACACCTGTGGAAGGTTTGTCTCTGAATCAGGACAGGGTAGACTGTGGACGGGCCCTTGGGAGGCTGTGCTGGGTGGAGGCGTGTGGGTGGGGAGCAGTGGAAGAGCACCTTAGGGTGGTAGCCTTCACCATGCCTTCACTGCTTTGAAGGCTGTTGGCCAGCAACTTGGTCCATGCAGGGACTTTTCCCCTGGCCTCCTTGAGATGCTGTCCTCTCCAGGTATTTCACATTTGGGTTCATTTGGCTACCTGTTCCTGGGGTAGCCAGTGGCTGACCCTGCCTCATGTAGTAAGTGCATCACAGCATTTGCACTTGGATTTATTCCTGAAAATAAACAGTTCACATAGGGGATGGTGCTCTTCTTCATCCTTTCAAATGCAGGTCTTGTTTCCTTGCCCCCTGAGAAGCAGTCCTGTCCTTCAGGTTGAGTTTTGTCTCATTTATTACCTGAAAACCCTTAGACATTCCTCCCCAGGGCTCCATTTCCTTGTGGTGACAAAATGCAGTTTGTGGCCAACATGGACATATATGCACCGCTGCCACCCTGCAGCTGAAACAAAGCCAGATGAATCTGGGCCTTTTATTTTTACTTGACCTGAGTGTTTCTCTTTTGCCCAAAGATCACTTACCTTGCTATGAAGATAGTTGAAACCTCTATGGATAAAATGCTTTCAAGAGCCCCAGATGTAGATTTCCTTACATTTTACCTATTTTATTATTCTACTTTAGCAGTGCCACTCTATCAGGTGGTCTTGGATACCTTTGTGGGTCTGGGAGAGAGGAGCCTTGGGTTGGTTTTCCTTTCTGGCGTTATGTAGAGGGGACTCATTCCAGTTCTGCCTAGAGTGGGATCCCTCTTCCCCCCTAATGTAGGGAACAGGGGAAGGGGACGTTACCAGAACCTCTGCAGTAAGTCCTAGTCTCCTGTGAGCCACGGCAGCACACGGCGAATTACAGGAAAGGTAGACAAATGAGACTGAGAAGAAGCTGAGCTTTGGGTCTGATCAGTGCTGCTCTGGGCAGCAAAGACAAAAGC